AAAATAGCGTAAATCCTTCAAAATACTTACCAATTCTCGCAGAGAGGAAAATAAACTTTCTATCTAAAATAAACATTCACTAAGGAAAGCCATAACTCTTCACGGGATTTGTGACTCTGTCATCCTTTCAACACGATGGTTCACCTCGCCGAATTGCAACGGCGAAAACTTGAGTCACTTTCAAAGTTGCCAAGACCCAGATTTAGGCGCCTGTTTGTTCCGTTCGTGAGGTCTTTGATTTTCGACCGGCGACGCTTGCATGAAATACTTGAAGGCTCCAAAAAATGACTGCGTTGAACCTTACCGCGTCACCTTCCCGGTGATGTTGGTTTTGCTGCGGCTTATCGGAAGTATAATGAACTTTGAAGCGATCTTCCCGATAAAATAACATCTCTGAAAGCTCAATAGTTTAAAGATCAAATTGACTTCGATAGACAACAGTTCGATGCAGGAAAGTAAAAACTGTAATGTTCGAGTGTTACCGTAAAATATTTCGAAACATGAGGCTAATATACATTCATTTTCTATCACTTATAGCAGGATTTAAACTTTGCGTAAATGAAATTATGTAATAATAAAAATTAATTGCATTTTTTGCCATAAATCAGTGGCAAAATTGAAGACAGAAAAAATATGTTTACATAGACATTTTAGCAACAAATGAATCAGATTTTGCGTCAAACTTCATTCCAAATTGTACTTGAAATTAAACAGTTGCATATCATAGGATATTAGATTAGATGCAATGAGAAAATGGATGCTGTGTTTCAAATTATATAGTTCTGATGTGAAAACGATGTTGACCGAATAGTCTCTGCCATTGCCAACCAGTGTAATATACATAATGAGCAGTTCGTCATATTTTCATTTCAACATTTTATACAATTGTTTTAACACAATTGTAATCACTTATCATAAAATGCGATTTGAGAAATGTGCAATTAGAAATTTGATATTTTGGCTGTTGATCAATTAGTCATGATTTCGCGGGATTGAGAAGAATATGGGATAAGAGTGAATAACAGAGAATCTTATTAAATTACGCATCTCCAAAATAGTGAACAGGAAATTTTTTACTCTTTTGCATTCAATCAAGCAGAAGATAATTACTATTAGAAAGTAAACTTGGCAATTCTAAAATAATTGACGAATAAAATATTAATTTTTTAATAAAAACGCTCTTTCATATGCGTATTTAAATTACAACCATCAACGTATACCATCTATTACTAACAAGAAGCGGGTTAAAATCATTGCTCAGACAGCAGCTATTGTCTTCAATATTTAATTAAGCTGTTTTATCTCACACGTTTACTTCAAATTTCATGGAACATTTGAACATTATTACATGGCGTTCGTAAGTGCCAGCGCGGCATCAGCACAAAATTGCTTGTCGATAGTAAGCATTTTGGGCGATTGCTTTCAAAACGAGACTGTCGCTCTTGACATAAATAAATCGCTTAATCTCAGCTGTTGCCGCAAAATCCAGCAGTCTTGTTTGAGCTGTAAAAATTGCGGAGGCTCTGAAGCCCAGATGAAATGGTTCATATAGAGAACAAATTTTGTCAGAAAAACTGGTAAAAACAGGATGGATCTAAAATTGCGGAAGATCACATCATGACAGAAGGATTTTAATTTTTTCGCTTAAAAATTCACCACTTTTTCAAGCAGAAATGTCATTAAATTTGCCAAGATATCAAACTATCAATTATGATATATGATAGATATAACTTGATTCTTATTTAGTAAAATTCATTCATTTCAAACAAATAGTAAATTTTCTAAATAACAGCCCTCCTCTCATTCCGTTACTTATTTAAATATTTTGCACGGCATAAAAAATGACTGATGAAAATACATTGAAAGCTTTTTTCTTCAGGAATTTCCATTATAGTGTGTGCTATCACCTTTATGAAATAACTAATTTAAATAAAAGTGGTGCAACGGCTTCAATTAATAGCCAGCACATCATTTCTTATAAAACACATGAAATGAAATTAAATACGAGACGCAAAATCAAATTTTACTCTAAATAACGTAACAATTAATCATGATTTAATAGTAATTCCAAACCATCACGAGTCTGCCGGAATTATAGAACAGTGCATCAGTTGAATCGGCTTACAATAGACCACTAACAGCAGCTCCATTGCAACGTCATACCGCACCCGCTGCCTCGATTCCCGTATTACCTCCGATATTGGTCATTAAATTCATGAAACGCCACCGAACATCATTCACTGCAGATTGTGAGGAAATTAATCGATTGCGTTTAAATACTATGTGAGCGTTGGTAAATCAGTTATGAACTCACAACAAGAGATTCGAAATTCGCTGGAAGTAACAATCGAGGTGTGAACGTAATACTTGAGAATATATTTTGCCAAAAATAATATAATGTTTAGAATATTGCAAATGAAATATTGAAAATAATGATCAGAAAAAATGTGATATATATTTCTGCAAGATTTGTATGAGAATCCACTAAACGGAATTATTTAGAAATATATGAAGGAGTGGATTTTATTTCAATTTATAAAGTTTGTTGAGTGTAAAAGGTTTACTTAAATTAGAAATTTATTATAGAAACAGTTACTTCAAAAAAGGATATCATTCAAGATCAAAAATGTACAATAATTCGAGCAAAAAACTTGTTAACCTTAACTCAGGATAATCTAAATGATAAGTTTCGAGCTCATTGCTTGTCATTATTTCGGAAGCTCTGTAATTTGGCACGAATTGAAAAGAGACAAGCTGGTGGCACAATAGGAAATTGTGTCTCGCGGCTAACACAAATTGGCCAGGTAGCGTACTTCTAATCCGATAGAAACGCCCGTCTAAACTGAATTATCTTCCGCATGATCGAGTTTCCTTGATAGCGCTGAATGATTGGCTGCCAAATTGCGCCTGTCTTTTTCAGTCTGGAAAAATCGGTCACCGACAAAATAATAATGAACGGCTAAGAATTTACCAGGCTGGAGAAGACGTTCTTTAATCAAGAACTTAATAAAACGTCGAAATCATGTGTTGTTGAAAGTTTAGTCATCTCGGTTCTGTGGAGAGTCACAGCAGTTTTACTTCAGGAGTGCATGCAAATTCAAACAGTTGAACCTAATTAAATTATTTCTTCATGAGGTGAAATGAATATCTAAATTAAATGAACGCTCAAATTAATTGCGTGAGTGCAATTTCAATATTTTTTTGTATGATTCGAATTAGAGCTGAAGCATTTCATCTGCTCTGTTGCCTCAAAACAGAAATTATTGTCATAATTAAGTAATAAATTATTATTAAGTTAATATTTGAAATAATAATTCGTTCAACGAAATTAATTAACGTGAAATCTATCTTTATTTAGATATTTATGCGGCACTTTCTGGAAAACATGATTACATGGAATACTTGTCATGAATGTCTCCTATATAGCAATAAAATATCGCATCAATATATAACTGTGGAACTAGATAGAAAAAAATGTCAAATTCATAACGATGACTTGCATTTAATGTATTTTAATGTATTTCTGATTAGGAAATCGACATTTTTGACTAAAAAATTAAGTTATCGAGCAATAGATCTCCCGATCACGAAACATACAAAGGCCCTGAAATGTAATTGATGACCAGGAAACACACTTAACGACCATTAATAATGTATGAAAACCTCCATGAAGAAAATATTCTCTCAAGTTTTAGTCTTTAATAAGAATTAATATTAATTTAACTGGGAAAAATACAGCTATTAGCAAATGCAAACTTCTCTTTGATGCTAGAAAACGACGTCAATTTTATTGATTAAAGAGAAAGCAATATATTATTGAAATTCAAATGGCAATTCGAATTTCAAATGGCAACTCGAAATTCAAATGGCAATTTGAAATTCAAATGGCAATTTGAAATTCAAATGGCAATTTGAAATTCAAATGGCAATTTGAAATTTTAATGGCAATTCGAAATTTAAATAGCAACAGAACTTCTTAAGTTTCAGAAGGAGAGAGGTCAAGCTTCAGAGATCACCGACTCCTTGTGTTTGTTGAGGCCTCTAATATGTCTGAAAATTTCCTCGCAGTTGATCAGATGGACCTTGGCGTTATTCCAGAGCCTAGCGCATCAAAAGATTAGAAAACAACATAAAAGAAATTCATGCTTCACTCGCTGATTCATGATTAAAGTAATATTCGAAAGATAATGAATGAATCAGTGATTGAATAATATTCGATTTGAAATTTGATCGCCATTCTTCAGTGACTTTAGGCTAGAGAAGAAGACTTTGAATCTATTCCTGATTACCCATTAAAATTTAACCCTAATATATGCTCTTTTCTCGACAGATATTTATTTATAATTGTATTTGTTGCTTACATTAAATTAATGCTAAAAGACACAATAAAGTTTATATGTTTGTGGTTGCAATATATCTGCAACCCTGTACATACTATAGTATATTCATCTTAAACACGTGTGTGTTTAGGACGAATTTTAATTTTCGTGAAATCAGACACGCTTAATCCGTGCCAATAAAATTTATAGAAAATAAAAATACGGGTGGAATTCTCTCACCAGAGTGCAGGCATATTGTAAGCACGGCTTCCATTATGCTACGACAATGGATAATTAATACTCATCATTTGATTCGTCATCAAACGTATCACATCAATGAGATGTAATAAAAAAGTTACATTCACTTCTGTTGTCGAATCATTAGGCGTGCATTCTATTTGATGGGAAACAAGAATAAGCTCATTTGAAGCAAAGAAATTATCTGGGGGAACGCATAAACACAAACAAAGATCAAACAACATAAACAATTGATCTAGAATTTTTTCATAATGACGTATATACATATCTTGTATATATTTGTTTAAGCTTGTGTGTGGGTTTGTGTGTTTGAAACCTGGCGCTGTAGCTGCGCTATTTGTCCGTCATTTGTTTACCAGGTTCACGCTGGCAATGTGTAGAGTGGGATGCGTTAACTCCCTGTTATTTTATTCACTCAGCGGTTGCGGTTGTGGTGGCCAAGACTTCGTAACGTGTATTCAGTTGAATGTCGTTAATTTTTTAGCCTCAACTACCTGTTTTTCATGTCAATTCATTTGTTGCAACCATTGTACCTCTCACGATTTCTTTGAGTGGCGGGTAAGCTTATTAGCCGATAGTAAGAATTTTGTCTTCCTTGTTTATGCTGCTATAAAGTACTGCCATAATACCAATGGCTGGAAAGTTAATTATTTCAATTTATATATTTTACCTCGTGTTCCTTAGATTAATACTGATATATTCCCCAATTGAGTTCCTCTGTTCCTGTAATTTTAGGGTAAACTTGCCATTTATTTTCCCATGCAATTGTTGATTATTTCTGGTGGAAGTGGGCTCTTTCTATTATAAGTCTACCTACGTACCTGGACCTACTCTGAATGAAAAGAAAGGGTGTCTAGTGTTCTGCATTGGTGAATGCAACCGTGACCATAGCTAAATTTCTGGATTGGACACTGGCAGCCCAAAACTTCGTCAAGCAATGACTGTGATAAGCGGATGCGCTTAGGTCTACTACGTCAGAGTGACACACTAGTCTCGACGGATATGTTGCGAACCTTCATCGACTGAAGAAGATACGCAGAAGACGTCAGGGCGGCCAAGCATGACCAATGTATTTGTTTGACTTTAGGTTATTTGTGTTGCTTGGCTTGTGACTGTACTGGTAGTAAGATTATTACTCTTTGGGAGTGGGCCACCTAATGTACCTTTTTTAAGCCACGCAATAAAATCTTGCTTAAGTCTCAACTCTGATCGTATCAGGTTTTTAATTCATTTTCACTATCGCGAACATAATGGAGCGATAGTCTAAATATGTTGGGAGCTCTCCCACAACAGCGCCATATATAAACAGGGCTTTTTGGGACGCGTGTCCACGATACTTATCGTGTCGGGATATCACCTGGACCTGATTATTAATTAGTCTGAACGCATATTATTTAATTAGTCATATATAATTAGTCAGGACGCAAATTTAGTCTTATTTAATTTTTCCGGACGCAAATAATATCATGTTTTTTATATATCAATGTACATAATTTCATGCACTCATTCTTCCTTCAATTGTTTGTTACTTTTCAATCCAAAAAGAGCCAAGTTTTTATTTATATTTTCAGTGCCAAAATTCTGCAATGTTTTGCAGGGTCGTCGTCAAAACAGGAGCCTCTCACAGCAACGTTGGTCGAGCTTATGACATGATAGAAAAATCAATAATCCATCTCTGCTGAAGGTGAGCCCAGGAATTTCGTTTCCAATAAACCAATAGACTTATTGGAGCATTTAATAGAAGCTTTAGAACGAGCCTACCTCGGCCCACGATGCTTATCGGGCGATCAGCTTAACTGAAACTCTACTGAAATGTGTCACATATTCCGAGCAATAATCGTAGCGTGATATTACACAGACTACGCGTTTTATACCCCAAGCTGAATGTGATATTAAAATGAAGTTCCGAAATTGGTTATAGTCGAAACACCTGCGTGAAATACTCCAATACGTGTAGCTATTTGCCTGATCACAACGCGCGACGCTTATGGACTGTTATACGTAAAGCTGTGGCTGGGAAGGAAATTAGGCTTCGAAAATTTTTGGTATACAGCCCAAAAATATTAAAGATATTCCGACCAGTTTGAAAATATTTTGTTATGAATTAGACTTTAATGCTCCGATAAATAAACTTTTACCTCCGATAAAAAATAAACCTCCGATCAACCTTTTAATAAACCTCCGATCAAGTTAAAAGAATAGCCTCTTTAGGATTCCATTTACAATTTTCTGTGCTTAAGAACGAGATTCCGAATTTGGATTCCTTTGGCATGTATTGATTGATTCAGAGTTTTCATTACTTATTTCGATGATTTTTCTATAATTTATCGGTCTAACTGATAAAAAATATGTGTCCAGAGCATAACTCATAATTATCTACATATCAGTTTTAAATTAATGATCACCTATCAATTCAGGCTTATGAACCTCAGCGCAATGCTTGGGACTCGCTGATGGCAATTCCAAGTTTTTCAACCATGCAAATTTTTACAGAAGTTATGATGTTTCAGCCGCTGAACTTCGAGTAAATGCCATAATAAAGTGACCTCGATAACTTTACGCGGTGATGAGGTATAGGCTGCAAGTTCTGGTAATTTTCTGCATGTTGAAATTAAATTAAGTCAAGGAAAGCCAAACACGAAAGTCAAGGAAAGCGTGAAAATTGTATAACACCATTTTTCCCTTTCATTTAAGCACAATATACAGTGAGGATTTTCTCAACATCGAAACTGAATGCATTTTACCGCAAGAAAGTTGATTTTTCCGCATTTCCAAAACCCTTAAACTTGATAATTTTCTTAACTTAAACTCGATCACGTGAGCAACATTGAAAACCAACATACCATCACACACCAGAGCCTGAAACTCAGTCTTTCAGTTCAACTCTTGCTTTCAGTCAAGAGTCACAGGAAATCCCAATAGAATGGGTAGCTTCCCTTTAGATTGCACTGTTTACCTGACTTGTCTCGGGAGCCTTGGCGTGAGCTCGAGTCAATGTTTGTCTACACTGAGGTGCTGTTTACCTACGCTCTGATATGCACGGTGCGAACCACTTTCAAGTGTCAATGTTTGCATCCACTTGTGAAAGGGTGAGGGAGTGATTTCCTATAAGCACTGATATGTGCGCTGAGGACAGTTTGTGCAAATGAACGCGGTAGTGTTTGCTCACGGTCGTGAGATGGTGAGAGGACTGTGCGTATAATCGCTATCTCTAACCTTTACCTCAACCGTTACCGTACTTAAAGGTCATAAAACTGGAAAAAAGTTGGTCAACTTTTATATCATTGTGTAGGGTACACGGAGAATGTTCATCATGTATTTTTCCAATTTTTTCCCTTGAATCAGGAATTTAGCAATTGTAAGTGAGACAACGATGCTGAAAATAGCAGTTAGAATATGATTGGTTAATCTTCAAGTAAGTGAAATCGATCAAGTTAGCAAAAACCTGCCCCGCCGGAGGTTTGTTTACGACAAGAAAAATTAATTTCATGGAAATTAAATTTGAGATTACCGCTGGAGAATGGCTGCATTCATTAGTAATATTTCTAATAGAACCCTCTCGATTCTTGGTAAATAATTTGAATGTCCGTGACCTGGTACCACTACCCGTATCTAACCTATGTCATTCCTGCTCTATTATGTGATTATTTAAAAATATTATTGTAGTTCTGCTGGAGGAAACCAGTTACATGATTTTCCTCTTTTTGTACATGTGATAAACATCTTAGTACCTTTAAGAGTAACTTAGCCGAATTTTTTAAACACTCATTGTCTTTAGACTATCATATACATATTAGGGGCTGAGAAGGCTGCACCTGCAATGAAATTTTAATTTCTCTACTCTACTGACAATTAATATCAATATGATCTTTATCAGCTTGGCGCAAAATTCGCTTATGATTATGTTTCGGTTGTCATAATTAGACTAATTCCACAATCAAGCGTCACATTTGAACGCACGCTGTTTTTTCATGTCGATATTGAAACAATTGTCATAACACTACTAAAATTCCACCAAAAATTCCAACAAGAATTATAATATAACCATTTAATGGTAGCTGTATCCAGTATATCCATGTTTTTCATCTTATATGTATTTGGTCGTACTCTTTCAAAAATAATTTAAGACGGCGAATAAAAAAGTAGTCGCGGTTTTCATATTGTCCTAGAATTATCAACAATGTTGAGGAAATTCACTTAATAAATCCAAGAAAAATATCACATCGTTTGCGATATTTGAAGCTCTCTCAACCAATAGAGTAAGTTCTCAAAATTCCCTTGAAGCGTGCGCAGATTTATTTAACTCGTGTCAAGGCACTAAAGTTTAATGGCTTATACATGTTTAAAATAACTGGATGTCGTTCTTCTCATGAAAATTTATTCTCCGGCCAAGTCTCAAGACGAATTTGACTATTTATTTGCCTCATGCGTATGAGATTCCTATATTAAATTTGTGGCTAGAGCCTCGCAGCTTCAGATTTTCGACACGTGCCAACAAATTTCTTTTGCTGACTAAATTCATCGTATTAAAGGGACATTTACTGTGCCATTCTAAGGGTCCTTATGCGGCTTCGGCATCGTTGATCATAAATAGAGAAGAACGATTGTCATCCTCACCAAGAGCTTCGATGGCACGTTATCGTGCTAACTTACGACCATCGAGAGCTCTTCACAAGTCTGCTTTGTTTGAAAAGAATGGCTGCATGTGAGTTATCATCGAACAAGAATTTCTGAATTTAGGAGCAGCTTCCGTGATGAGCACCTCAGATAAGTCAGAAGGAACGAAATTTGTCGGAGTGGAATGCTTCTTCAAATATTTCAAGACCTTCCCGTTTGTGGCTCGCATAGAAATGATTTATTGGTTTCTCCTCGATTATCATTTTTAAGACATGAAGACGTAAATAGATTTGGTGCTGTTATGGATATTATATTGCAAAAATATTTCCGATAAGTCATTATAAATGATGACAAGTTAACTCACGGATAATTCAGTGGTAAAATCAAATTAAATATACTGTTATTTTTAATGTAGAAAAATATTCCTTTTTTCAAGTTTTCTTCATATGACTTTAAAATATATTGTGCTATGTATGGGCCTATTTTTAATTAGGAATATTATTTCTATGTTCAAATCAAACGGACTTCAGTAGTTAAAACAATTATATTTTTCGACTTAAAATGACCAATGATTGAAAATGTCTGAGATTATTATGACCATAAAAATGTCTAAATGTACACAGTTCAAAAAGCTGCCGATAATAATAGGAGAATATATAATATAAAATACTTGATTTTTTAATACAAAATTCAAGCCCAGAATTTCTGCCTTGACTAATGACATAAGATATTGTTCTTGCCATCATACAAATTTATATCCCGCATTTATTAAATTCGTTCATGTGCTCGATTTTGAGGAATTTTCGAGCAGCTTCTGCTTCACATAATTTATTCCGTGAGAAAATACAACAATTTCTTTCATAAGAAGCTTAGTTCAGTCGCCTCTGGAGCGAGGAAACAAAAGCTGATTGCTAAGCTTCTTACATTACAAAGGCTCAGTTTCAATGTAGCTGTGACAACAAGAAACTAAGACAAGTCTTCTCAAGTCTTAATATCACCTCTAAACTTTTCACAATCTTCTTTCAGGTTCCGCAATCAGAGTTGCGAATGTGTTTGCGAATGGCTTAAAAAGTTTGTTCTATGGTCTTTACATACTAAATTAATGCAGTATTCAAATTCACGATTCCTTAGTCCATCTTCTTTAAAAATTATGATATACTAAATCAAATTTTTATACTAACCATGTCGGTAATACGAACAATGAATCTTTCGCTTTCGGCTATTGATTAAAATTCATGTAGACAAACAAAATTTTACAGTCGAGACTTCGAAATCACCTCAGTCAGGGTGCCGATAAAAAAATTTGTAAGAACACGTGTGTCTTTTGAATTAGTTTAGTAGCCCCTCATATGTCTGTCATCAATGCTACGGAGACGCTGCGGGGGCTCATCTGTATGCATTACTTTCACTCCGCTGTAACGACTCTGGCAACGTCTTAGAATTGTGATCAGAATGTTCAACTGCGAGAAATTCTCTCCCCAAAATGCGCCGGAATAACATTAGTGGGCGATGGGATCTCGGTCTCGTAAGATCAATAATCTCGGAAGTCTCTTGCCGGGAAGTTTTTCGCGAAAAGTTTCAAGCGGGGGCCTGGTATGCATTCATTTTAATGAGAATACTATATCTATTAAATGTGAAGATATTTCTTTGAGTTTAATTTAGCTCATTAGTGATTATGCAACTATAAATAATTTATCGTAAGTTGTAGCAATAAATTAGTTTTCAGTATTTACACGGGTACGGTTGCAGGGGAAGAATTTGGAATCCGGACACCTCACATGTTAAGAAATTCTATTAAAAACGCAAAAAATTCAACATCATTTAAGCAATAAATCCATTCGAATCGCTCCAAGGGACTTCGTGTAAATATCAAGGTGAACAGCAACAAATATTAAAGTGAATAAATAACTAGAAATGACTTTACTCTCAATATTATCAGTGAATATCTTACTTTCTAAAGTGTGCACTAGTTGAGTAGTGTCGATGTATCCATCAAATATTGAGAATATAATAAGAAAAAATAAGTATAATGAGGCTTTACTAGTGTTGCTACGGAACGCATTTCACGGGAGATGCGTCGGCAAGAGGATTTATAAGCGAGCTCTAACAATAATAAATTGCTGCTCTGGCAAAAACAATGTGTTACTCTGAATATAAATCCGTCAGATTTATGACCCGCTCCTGGTGGACTCGAGAAATTTGTGGAATGATTTTCGAGGGGTCGCGATCTTAAAATTGAAAAACTTTCGAAAAATTACTCGTTTCATCAAATTACTATTGATTTTAAAATAAAAAAATGAAAAATAAATAACATTGATTATAGGTAGTATGCACTATAATTTTTTAATAGTTTCCATGCATTTGCTCTGTAAATAGTTTTATGAATACTTTTCTGAAAAAAAATTATTTTAACATTTGAAAGTTAATAAATTTGAAGCAATTTGCTGCAAACAATTGCAAACAACAATTTACTGCAAACAACAAATTTTACAACAAAAATTTGTTGTAGAAAAATTTGTCATCAAAAAATCGTATAATTTTTAGTTTATCGTTAGTTTAATTTTAAAATTAAGAGTTTCGATCATTTTTACTGAAGTGCAATCGTAGCTGCTGGAATTTAAAACTCCTAAAATTTTTATGTGTATTCATTAAGATTTAACAACACATTGTAAAATATTAACTGAAAAAATTTGTTTCTGTGTAGTTCATACAGAGCATTTGCGATGTTGGATAAGGAAAAGAAAAGATAGGGAAGAATTGAATAATGATAGTAATAATAGTCATTATTATACTAATTACTATACTTCTATGAATTTAATTATAAATTATTATAATAATAATAATTATCATGGTAAAATCATTTAGGTTTTAAGAAACGGTATTAGTAACCAGTACGAAGCAATTCGTTTTTCATGTTGTAACCGTGTGATTTTTCACCAGACGAAATCGAGATGATATGAGCCAAATAATCAGACTTATGCAACAGAAGCTTTATTCAGAAAACCAACGATGGCTGCCAAGTAAACAAGCGTCCATAAAAAAATTTTCAGCCTCAATGTTTATACAAGAAATTCCCTAGTGAAAAATGCCCTTCAAATTTACCGAGTGAATAGCAGTAAATGTTTCACAATATTTCAGGAAAAAGTGGAGCGTGAAGCAAGCCTATCAATTGAATTCTTTTCAGGCCGACGCCTTCGCAGGCTTTTGTGCTTCAGGAAGTAGAAATAATGGAGAACGCGAGCACTGCAAGCACAACATGTCATTTCGATAAAGAAGTTCTCAGTTATAATTTTAACCAAATGTTATTTATGTTATGTTATGTTATTTATGTTATTATTATTATTATGTTATTTATATATGTTATTTACGAGGGCAATCGTTAATTTCAAGTCCAAGTGGAATTATTAATAATTTAGTGATCTCTGAAGAAGAAGAAGCAGCAGAGATTTCAGACTTATAAGCAGAGGTTTTATAAGAAAAATTTGTGCATTCACTTATGTAGAATTGAGTAGACAAATTAGACAAATAGATTACACGACTATGAATTGAAGAACTTTGTATTATGTTGGTTGCAAAAATATTGTGGCAATAAACCTTTTTCTTTGACGGCAAATACAATCTTTTTAGGACCCTGGTACTTTGTTCACAATAAATGACATTCATTTGAATGTTGAACAGTCAGTTAACAGTTGAATAAGAAGACCACGAATCCAAGCTCATAACGAAATACGAAAGTGGATTAATTTCGCTCGCGAGATTTAGAAAAGACAGGCTGTCCATCTTGAAAGGGCAGAATGGCTCTTGGTGAGAAGGTCAAAGAATCTGCGTATTTAGGAAAAAAACTGAGAACTGAGACGACTTTGCCTCACTGCCCAAATTGAGTGAAGGTGTGGCATTTGGATGACTTCACTTATCATGCATCTGAAGGGCATGCTCCTGGGAGGATAGCTATTCATTTCAATCTCTCCAATGAACGAGATGTATTACTAAGCAATGAATGGTCATAACGTTCAAACATTCATTCACTCAATTCAACATTTTTATTAAACCAACATTGGGATTTATCTTTGATTAGGAAAAAAATATTTATTAATGCAATTATATATATATATATATAACTACGAAAGAAAAATTATCTACTAGAGCAAACGTCAAACATATCTGCATTTATTTTACAGATTTATCTTGTCACACTAAAGAGTAGCTATTGTGAGTATGAAGATACTTCATTATAACAACTAGAAAATAAATGCATTCATCTCGCTCTCCCATATTAGCTCATGCAGGCTTATGCATCAAGGCATAAAATTCGTATTTTTTCCATTTCTGAAGTCGGTGCATTGGAGCCTTGCAGCGCCGGCGCCCCGCGACAGTGCCCAAGTTTGGCGAGCAAACGTCAGCTCGAGCTGCTAATTAGTGAAGCAAAGGGGGGAAATTCCCCGGACTGTTCCATGGCAATAAAAACAGTGATAAAGTCTTCGTGTTTGCTGAGTGTGTTTGAGTCGAGGGGAATAAGAGCTCGTATAACCGTAATTGTAAAAAATTATCAAACAATGAGGGTGGCAAGAACTGGCACTTCTTGGGAGTACCAAAATAGGAAATGACAGAATGCAAAACTGAAATGCTCCATTAATTTTATAAATCTAAATTAAAAATAAATATATAAATAATTATAAATATGGTGAAATTTATATGGAAATGACGGTAGGAGAGAATATTAAACATCCTGATCTAGAACATTGTTCTTAAACCTAAACTTAAAATAACCTCAACGATAAAATTTTTGAAACACTGTTGTGAAAGAGTTTGCCGAACGCAACATCAGAGGTATTATGTAGAGGATCATGGATCATATTTATAAGTGAGCTCGAAAATCCCCACAAAGCTTAAAGTTCCCAGGTTAACAGAACGAATTATTGTTATTATGATTCTCTTTTGCCAGAACGAAAGTCAATACTTATTTTCGAACAAATATTTTGATGCGAACGAAATTACAAGATTCCAACATTGCTCAAAATTGCCGATTTCAATCCCTATTGATTGTTGTTGATTGATGGTACGCAATTTTCATATTCATAATTTGACGCGTAAGGGAAAAAAACACAAAGGTGAATCGCACTGTAAGAGGTCATAATGCAGAGGTAGAAAAATGAGATGGTTACAAAAACATTACTGGTACAAACCTAATTACCTGGAACAGCGTGGTTCCATGATAACCTGCATTCAAACGAACCAATGACACTCAAATACCTTACGAATTACATTTACACGAATACGAATTCATACACTTTCAGCCTCGGAGATTACGAGTAACGCGATCGTTCGGGTACTGACATGACCACAACTCTGACGGGACGATTTAAAATGCC